GTGGACAGATCAGTAAGGCACGGTTGCTGCCACCCTGCTTTCTCGTGAAGGTTTTGAGAAACTGTGAACACTTGTCCTGGACTAGGAGGATGTGGTATGCTCAATGATGGTCCGTTGTGGGAACATGCCGGAAAGTTGCCTACAATATACCTTGGGTTGGACAGGTGGTGAATGGGATGGCATAGAGTAAAGTTAGTTACTGACCTGTTTGTGTGGACATTTTAGCATTAATCCCATTTCTTTGTGGGTTTCTCCAAGCACTTTTACAACATTTTTAAAATTCATAATTGGACCTAACATTCCAAGCAGGATACTTCTTAAAAGGTCTCGTGCCCTCAGCACCAGTTTCCTGGTTATAAAGAACTCCCGTTATTATTACATGGGCTATAATTTCTCATTTTACATGATTCAATTGACTTAATTGTTATAAATAGCCGTCATCGTCGTCATCTGCTCTCCTCTCCCGCACCCCGAGCAGCTTGCCGTGGAGGTGGAGCGCCTCTCGGGGAGTCAGCGGCAGCTGGAGGATGAGCTGCGTGACCTGGAGGACAAGAAGCAGTCGGTTGCGCACTGGGAGGCACAGATCACCGAGATCATCCAGTGGTGGGTATACCTGCACATGCGCAACGCTCTCTCGCAAGCACTTCAAACCAGCGATGTCCACCAACCGCTCTGGTCACCATCGGAGCCCTCGAGCGGCCGTGTTTGTGGAGAGAGTCGCGGGGATGGGGAGGCGTGACGGCGCTCCACTGCAGGGCCCGGCACTCGCGCTGGCGCCACTGCCGCGAGGCGGTGCCAGCCCAGGGGCATTGGGACCGTGGCATCGGGCAGGAGGGGAGGGGGTGGCAGAGAGGAGCGAGGGGAAAGGGGCCCGTGGGTGACATCGTGAGCAAAGCCTGTTCGGGGGTATCGACGGATGATATTCACACGGCATGCTTTTCCCGGACCGTGTCGGCCCGGTAGGTTTTGCACGCTTATTGAAATATAAAAGAAGCCCTGTGTGTTCCCAGCTGGTTACATTGAGAAAAAAATAAGAATAACAAAGTGTTACGTTGCACACTATTTGGACTGGAAATCCTCTCACAAAAGTGTAGTGTCCCCTTTTGGAAATGGATAGGACATAGTTTAACAGTTTTATATATTTATTCACGCACACACGGATATGTTCCTTGGAAGCCCGGAACCCACACTGACTCACAAGGAGTTTGGCAAGAAACACTTCATTGACTGTTGCGAGTAAGCAGTTGTACAAATTTGCAGCAGGCACGTGCCGCACTGCGGAACCAAAAGCTCCTTGGAATAGCGGTCAGCTTGGTCAGGCTGCGAGTTCTGCTGTTGTTCCTGGCCCAGCGATGTTCCCTGGCCACAAGTCTCGTTGACCGACCACGCAAAACATTCACCGGTGGCTGATTGTGAGGGCTCATTCGCAGAAAAACAAGGTCTCTGTTTTTGTGGTTTGAGGCGGTTCATTGAGTTGTTTTCTGCATATTTAAGCTCCGGGTGTTACATAACTTGCTCTCTCGTGTGTTTTTTCAAAAGCAACAACGTTTTTGATCTTTTTTCATTTTCTTTTTTTTACGATCGAACATTTTCAAAAGATGTTTTTTGCAAAGTGGAAATTGGTAGCAGATGCAGCAGTATTTTCCGAGCCTCGCTTGCAGCCGGCGATACATTTCTGACGAGTGGACGTTCACGCAAACTTCTGCATTGATGTGAAAGTTACCGCAATACGTTCGTGGAACTGCTTTCGGCATGTGGCACCACACGCCAGAAAAATATTTGTCAATGCCATTGCTAAGGAAGACACTGTCTGAAAGCGATCACCGTCGGGACGTGTGTTCCATGCCACGCAACCATCCCACAGCAATACACATTCTCCCCTCCTCCACCACCCCCCACTTCCCCTCCCTCCATCTCTGGATGTGTTCGTGGCGAAAATTTCAGCGGGGAGCACAGTGGGAGAACGGCCAAGCAGGAATGCTTGACCCGCAGCCAATGTAAACCTTGGTCTTGCATCTAATGAGAGGGTCACTTTGCCATGCCTCTTCAACCCGTATTGAGTGAACGTTCTTGCACATTTGCCGTGGGCGACATGTGGCTCAGGAGTCCCGAGGGTTAATTTTTTGGTTATTAAAGCAACGTGTCTGAGCATGGAGAGCACTGTGGGAGCGGTAGGGCATGAAACGATTTATTTATTAAGAGTGATTTAAATTGAGTTCTTACACCCATGTTGTGTTTATACATACTCGTTGGTTCTTTCGGTAAAGTCATGTAGGTAGAGAAATAATAGATGACGACGTTTCGATCGCAACACAAGCCGACAGCAGTTTTTTCTTGCTGTGGTTGTCTCACCTGATGACGATCGCTTGTGTTGCGATCGAAACGTCGTGATCTATTTTATTTTTCTACCTACGTGACTTTACCGAAATAACCAAAGAGTATGGATTCCTGCAGTGACAAAAGCTTCAAATCAGTGTTTATACATATAACATTCAATTGTGTTTTCTGTGTGTATGGATCAGTTATTGGCTATTTATGCAATCTTTTAGCAAATGGTAATTGACTGAACGGGACCGACAACCTAGACAAGAAATGCCAGACACAATGCAAATGACGAGACAAAAAAGCATCTCTTTGACTTGAATTGTGGCTGAATCATAAACGTCGCAGGTGCAGGAGGGTGAATCGTTGTTTATCGAGTGGAGCGTGGTGTGAACTTTAAAGTCTAAAGACTGGCTTGCCAACAGGACAGCACCGCGCCCATGTACGACCACGTGCGAGTTGAAGTCGCTCACTCAATGTTGAGTGGAAAGCGTTCTATCAGTGCCACCGTGTAAGGCAGTGTTGTTCACGAATTTTCAGAGGGGGACCACTTTCACTGATAAGACATCGGTGTGAGGTCTGCCACACATTTGAAACCATTGGGGTTTGACCGCACGATGGGGGTTTTCATTTTTGTGTATTGTCGGGGGCCGCGCGTCAGGGGCTGCACTAAAGGCCATCAGGGGCTGCCAGTGGCCTGCGGGCCTGGCAATGAAGCACACTGGTGTAAGGTGATATGTGATGCTTCCATTCATATCATCGCTAAGTACGATGATCGAAACTCCATTGAAAATTGACCACTTCCTCGGCATGCTCAACTCGAACCGAAAAGAAGCGGCAGATGCAGTTGTCTGAACAGCATCGTCGGGAAGAACTAAGGGGGACCCCAAGTGTAGTTCTACACATGCACCGTCTTTAGTGAGCAGTGCCTGTCTTTGTAGGTGCTCCTGAACAGCACTTGACCAATTCCAGAGGCTAACCATTACATTCTTGTTGGGTGTTTGTTACCCGAGGCGCATATATTTGCCTGTGAGTATGACATGCGTGCGCTTCTTCGTGCGATTGGCTGTCTTTGTCTGCGTACCCCCGCGATGCAGGGTCAGCGACGAGAAGGACGCCCGCGGCTACCTCCAGGCCCTCGCCACCAAGCTCAATGAGGACCTCGACTCCTTGCGCAACTCCAGCCTCGGCGCCAAACCCATGGTATGGGGACGGCGCTTTGTTCAAACCAGAGAGTGTAAACACTCCCAGCGAGCGATTCGGTGAATATCCCCGTGTTAGATGGGACACTTCTCGGCTTGGGCCTGGGCAGTGTTTGCTCGCACTTTGTCGGTGTGTGTACGACACACAGGACTTCCTCTCCGTCTCCCACTGCACTTGCGGTGCTGTTCTATATCGGACAACAGTGCGCGCTGTTAGTTCACTTTCCCACAGTCCTTATTTGGGAAGTAACGGTGAGGACCAATGTCTTGGCGAGTTGTGAGATGCAGCGATTCCATAGTTATCCTGGTCGCGGCGATTTTTACGTTTTTGTTTTTGTCAACATTGGTCGTGGAAATGTCTTGGTTATTGTACATCACGCAATGATGTTCTGTGTGTTATCGCGTACGTAATAATGGCGTGGTTATTGTACACCGCTTATTGCGGGCTACTCGTGTGTTGATGGGGGCCCGCCGGCATGCTGTCACGCAAGACGTCAAATCGCCCATCTCTCCGCCTGCTTCCATTCCACTCTTTCACAGCTCCTAACTTTATTATTAATCGTTGCCCGCTTGAGAAAACATATTTTTTGCTCTTCATTTAACCTTTTTTCTCTCAATTTTTTACAAATGATGATTTTCCACTTGAAAAGAACAGTTCGTTGAGCTATGTTTTTCTGTCTTTACGTTTTTCTTGGTGTCTCATTTTGTGTCTTACTTGGGTTGCTTCTTCTGTTCCACTCCATCTTTGCCGCATTTCTGCAGAACACACTGAGCCCTTATTGCCACAACTACACAGAGTCCGATGGCGCTAGGCAGGTAAGCGGCAGCCGCCTTCAACCATATTCCTGCTGTAAGAATGTTAATTTCAAAAGAGCACATCCCACCCGTTTCATGTGTGTGTTTGTGTGTGAATCATGTGGAAGCTTTTCCTGTTATTTTGAAATCTTGTGCCTTATCGTATGGTTCCCCTCCCTCTGAAATGGCACATTTGGTGTCGGTGGCAAAGTCTGGTCATGCATTAACACTCGTGGAATTAGTGACCAAACGTGGGAAATGTGCGGGTGTACTCGTGACAAAGGCCTAAGTTCATAACGTAGAACTTAATAATTTTCAATGTTAAGCACGTTTCATTCTATCTTCTGCGCTCACTGAGCGCAGAAAGGCAACGACACACGTGGCATGAGGCCGTCAGTGGAAAACCCGTAGATTAGAGCTGTGCAGAGTCTTTGTTATTGTTTTCATTATTTAGCCACAAGTGCCAACAATAGCAGAGACAAATGAGCGCATACAGTTTTGTGACGGCTGGTTGTACGAGCCAAACCCCATCGTATTGGGTGGGCCGCTTGTTGCTACGTCGGCTCGGGACGAAAGCGAAGCCGATAGCAGCGGGGATCGTTCATCCCTCGGAGATCGGCGAAGGCAGGTCGGCCAAAAAGGCTCGTCCGCCTGGCCAGAGTAGATATCTTTGCGTGACGTGTTGGCAAGCGATCTCTGCGCATGTCCACTCTGCTCTACCTCATACTACCTCCCATGGTTACGACGTCCCCTTGTAGTTCCCGCGCACTGTTGGCCCGGCCACTCAGTGCTGCCATGTCACCAAGAACTGCAACGAACCTCTTCCACTGCACGTTTTGCCAAACCTTCTACCGTTGTCATTGCATTGTGCACTGCGGCATTCCTGGTCCCCTCTGCCGTTGCACATTTTTACTCTTTAATTTTCTCTTTGTTTACTTGAATTCTGTTTATAATAATTTGCAATAATAAACACGACTTAAATAAACATGTCGTAAGATAACTGAAATTGTACACTAAAGTAAATATTTAGGTGTCGCTTTTTGGTTGATGGTGTGTTTTTGCTTGAGCATAGTTGATTAGAATTTCAACAAAAACAAACGAGATTCGAGTATAACCTTGCGTAAAAACAAACATCAAGTGCGTCCTATATTTAATATTTGCTTCGTCGTGAATTTCACGTGAACATGCCTTGTGTTTGGTCCCGGCTCTGCTCTTAATGACGGAAGTGAAAACTAATATAACTAAACTATTTTTATTTTACCAGGTAAGGCCCACTTAGCTGTATAGCTCTTTTTTTCAGAAGCGACCTGGCTACAAATGATAGCTCAATAAAGTCGCTTATCACGTGGAATTTATATCAACCAAATACTCTAAACGCACGTTGAGAGTATTTCTGTGGAGGAAAAAACGATTACCCGGAGAGAAATCCTCACGATCACGGGACAACATGCAAACTCCAAATACACAGGCGTCAGGGTCGGGATCGAACCCACGGCCTCATGCGCACCACATTCGGTGACGAGATGTGGTGCACACGTACCACATCCTGGCCTCCTAGGCGAGAGCCGCCCCCCTCCCCACCTTCCGCCGAGTGACCACGAGTGGCCTTTGTGATCCCTCCTAGTTTACATTCGCACAATGCATAATATGGAAAGACTGCAAGGAGATGTGCCAGTTTTAGCTATTGTTCGCTTTTGTTTGAAAGCCTGGACGGCAAAAGCTTTGTTGCTTGTTTTCGTCGCCGCTTAGTCACTGCGGGAGGGGAGTTACTGACTGGCTGTGTGTTTGCAGGGCTTGCATCATGCTTCTGGGGTCAAGGCCATTGTAAGAGAGGGCTGTGTAATGCCCCGTATATGCAGATTGCATAAAAAACACAACATTGATAAAGACTACAGGGACCCTGTCATACTTTCCTTTGATCTCGTTTATCTCGAAATAGAGCAAAAATTTGCACATGCTTTATTTAAAATAAGAGTGGCATACTGGTAGCAGATTAAGTATAGTCACGCACATGGCATGCATTGTGGGAGTTTAGGCAACAAACAAGTGATGGAACAGTCATATAGAGTGTGTTCTATAGGCACATCCGGTGGTGCATCATAACAGCAGCCGCTCAGGCGCCAAGTCCATCGACAGCTTTGTCTCACGCAGTGCCTACGTAACTGCTCACGCTCGCCAGTCTTGGCGTCACGCAGGCGCCTGATGATGCGGCATCAGGCGCCCGCGTTGACAGTCGCACATGTCGTGGGGACAGCATGGATTCGGGGGAGGGGTGGGGGAGTTGCGAGGTCGAGATGGGAGAGGGGCGTTGCGTTTGACGGCGCCGTGCTCGCCGCCTTGTGACTCGGGCAGGACACGCTGTGGAAGACGAGGCGCAGCCAGAAGGTGGAGATGTCCGCGCGGCTGGAGCTGCAGTCTGCGCTTGACGCGGAGATCCGTGCCAAGCAGGGCGTGCAGGAGGAGCTGACGCGAATCAAGGCCACGCACATGGCCACCGAGGGGTGAGTGCCGATGTCCTGTGTGAGTGTGAACGCGACGGCGGGAAGCGGAAACGCCAGAGCGTGAGCATCAGTGCTGCCCCGAATTGCTTGGTGATGTCACACAAACCTCATGCCAATGTCACACAATATACTGCAAGATTGCCATCTTAGTTTTATCAATACCTCGAGCCCTTGCCTCCCATCCCACATCTCTGAGACCTTGTCTCTCCTCTTCTTGGTTCTTTCGGTAAAGTCCCGTAGAAGGGAAATAATAAAAGTAAAATGTTGTAGTTTTATTATTTTATTATTTCCCTTCTTCGTGACTTTACCGAAAGAACCAAGACGATGAATCCCTGCAGTCACGGAAGCTTTAAATCGAAACTTGTCTCTCCTGTTTACCAATTTTTTTGATTTCTGCTCGAGCAGCCACTGACGTCTCCATCCCCTGTGTCAATCTTGACTCAGTGGGTCAGTGGGAGGATGCTCATCTCCACCACTGCCCACTTTGTTTGGAAACACCCCACCACCCCCTCCTATTCTTGACACACTACCACATGCAGTCAGTTGTCAGCTTAAACCTCTATTATGGATCTGTATTTACCCTGCTGTACTTTTCATCCTATACATTTGAACCCATCCATAAATACGTACATTTGTAAATTTTTGGACATTTCATGGACAGTGCCTTTGGATGAACGTTAACTGGGACTCGCGTAATAAATCCGAAACCGTGCTCGATCCGGGCGGACCAGACGAGGTGATATCCGACTGCCGGGGAAGTGTTTGGCAGCCCCCTAGTGGTAGCGACACCAACACTGCCTTCCCACCGGCACAATCGACCGCATTCCAGCACGTGCCGCACTTGGACATTTGAGACAAACACCTCACTGTGTGAATGCCTGCGCTTTACCAAAACAAACCGCAGAGACTGCTCTGTTTATTTTTTTCAATTCCCCCCCCCCCCCCCCACTTGCCCTCCCCCCCTCTCCTGTCATTGAAGGCGAGCACCCTAGGTATGCCGTCGCGGGAGAAAATTACTCGGGGTGATTATTGGGGCGTGCTCGTCACTCATACTCCTGTCAGCCCCAGTAGGGAACTCAAGACCTGACCGCTTTGGGGTGGTGTGTAAACACAGACAAAAATATATATATAGTACTTGAAGTTTTACTCCTCAAAGGAAAGCATTATGGGCGTAGGCCCCGGAATGGGAAAACATTATCCCCTGTGCAGTGCGCCGATTCTTTTGAGTCTGTACTTATCGCTAAGACACGGCATTGTTGTGCGTGGAAACGGCTTTAAATTAAATTGTCGTCTAAAAATATGTGTGGTTTTATTTAGCGGCGATCCCTAACGGAATTCACGTGTAAAAATTTGTCAGGCTGCTTTGAGGGCTGCGTTGTGCCACTGGTGGCCCGTAAAAATAATAATTCACGAGATTGTGGCGATCCCAAGCGTGGTTAAGTTTGTGGTTAACACGCTTTATGAGGCGTTTCTTTTTTAATACAAATATTTTAATTCACAGGAAACTGCAAGAGACTGAGAAGAAGAACAGCAGCCTCATGGCAGAATTGGACATCCTTAAGAAAGAAGTGGCCGAGATGAAAAGGCAACCAGACAAAGGTAACATAACAGCCCCCGAACGTAACGGTGGTGCAGTGTTCGAGTTTGCATTGTCACCTTTTGAGGCGGCCAATGTTCGGTGTCCCTAACCCAGCGCGTCGTGAGTGGACAATGCCCCAAGCATTCATGTTGCCACCACTCTGCGCAGGTCTCAAACAACAGGACTCGAGGAACTCCCTCGTGCGATATTATGAAACACCGTCGTCACCGGTCGACAAGCCAGACGTAAGTTGCCCCGTGCACCATTGTTTACATTCCTTGTTTCCGTAATAAGTTAAGCTAATAGGAAGTTTGGCCCACTCTTTATCGCACAATAGATCCCCTATTTTAGCCTGACGAACTGGTGTGGTGAGTACTGATGGCGAGCACCTCTTATAAGGCCGTCCTTGAGCAGCACTCGTATGTCGTGTGGCGTGCGCAGGATGCAGAGCTGCGTCCCGGCCCCGTCTCTCAGCTGTCGCGCGCCACCTCGCTGCCTGTGCACTCCACGGCTGCACAGCCCAAGGTATTGCCGCTGCTGGCCGTGCCACCCCCCCCCCGCCTCCACACAAAACAAAATGCCAATTTCTCCCATGCAGTCTCTACAATAGGTTGTTCGGGCAAGTGCTGTGTAGTAATTACATTGGATGGCACACACGAACGAACGGTGTGGCGAGAACCACGCTTGGTCGTCTTTGTCTCTCGAGTGGTGACGTTTATACACTGTCAAAGGTACAATTATAAGATTGTGTCGACCTTGGGAGGCGTCCATGACTGGTTCAAATATTCGCCAGCGATTTTGGTTGAGCAGAAATTTAACTCGGTGGCTACAGGATTATTTTTCCAACTCCGCAACCTGTCACTACTCAAAATACAAAGATCCCCGTTATAGTCTTAACAGACTGTTGGGAAAAGTGTTGTTATCAAATTCCTATTAAGGCCAACACGGCACACAAGGGCATGGCCTTTTATGTCCACTCAATGCTGATGCTTGCACACTGCACCAGGTTGTCAATTAAGGCCGAGTCGACCTAGGGGAGACCCAGGACCAGTTCGGATGATCATCACTGGTGTTGGTGGCGACAAGCGGAAATTGAACTTTGGAGCGCAGCGCGCTAACCACTACGCTACCGCTCCCCACGGGCACACATTCACACTTACACAAACTTGCACACACAGCACAACAAGTATTAATTCGGATGGTTTCGTTGTTGCCATTCTTCCCAACCCCTCAATCCCGTGCTGCCCTCTTCCAGCCAAAGGCGCATTCGCTGGTGGTGCGGACATTCAGCAGCCCCACCAAGTGCAGCCAGTGCAGCTCCCTCATGTTGGGCCTGGTGCGGCAAGGCTGCGCATGCGAAGGTACCACCAGCACGTGTGCGCTGGTCGTGGTGTTAGGGTCACGCACATTTTTGTCATGACACCGTATTGTTATCAAGAGTAAAATATATATTTTGCCTTGGTGTGTTTCAGTTTAGTATGTTAACGCCTACTGGTGCCGCACTTTAGATTTATGCTTGTGTGCTTATGCGATTGTGTGTTTCTGTGTATGTGTGGATGTCTCTGCATGTACACGTGCGTGTGTGTGTCCGCGTGTGCACGCATGCATGTGTCTTTCCTTGCATGTGCTTTGTTTCGTGTGTGTGTGTATATCTTGTGTCCGTGCATGTATCCTCATGCATCCCCCCCCACCCCCTTTTTTTCGGCAGTGTGCGGCTTCTCATGCCACGTGACGTGTGCCGAGAAGGCACCCCAGGTGTGCCCCATCCCGGCAGACCAGACACGCCGGCCCCTGGTATCGACCCGCAGCGTGGCACCGGCACTGCCTACGAGGGATACGTGCGGGTGAGGCCCCAGCGCCGCGCTAGCTTGTTACCAGACGTCTTGGTGCCCTGGCGTGACTCACAAGTGGCCACGAGTGTGAAACTGGCGGTTGGTCACAGGGCCACTGCGTCCGTCAATTCGAGAGAATTGGGATTCGTGTTGCAGCTCGGCATAAGTAGCCTTTCCCTTAAAAAGCTCTTCTTATTCAAGGATGGACAGAAAGTTGTGTACGGAACGGTCCTCATTGTTTTTGGAATTTCTGTCACAGAGTATAGCCACAATTCCACTGAACATAGCTGGCTGTGAACTCCAGAAGGTGGCACTGCTTGAAACTCTCGATTCCATATTGACTTTGCCATGGATTTTGACCAAGTTGACTATCATCCATGGCATTTGTATCAAACTACCTTTCTGAGACATTCCGTAGAGTGAGGCTGAATACCACGTGGCACAGAAAGGATGTCGCGGATCGTAACCCCCCCCTCTCCATCTTCTCGCAGGTGCCGAAGCCAGCGGGCGTCAAGAAGGGCTGGCAGAGGGCGTACGCGGTGGTGTGCGATCTCAAGCTCGTTTTGTTCGACATCCCCGAGGGCAAGACGGCACTGCCAAATGTGGGGGTCAGCCACGTCATCGACATGAGGTCAGCCACTCGGCCGGGCAGCACGGTGCTTCGTGGAGGAGTCCAGTGGTGCACATTTAATATTTGGCAGCCTGAATCAAGTGACCTTTCTTGTAGATGTGAACAAAGAGCATTGCACCTCTTTAATTAATTTTTTTTAAAATAATTTATACATTGCGCAAGTAGGGATGAGTAGTGGTTAACGTCTGCTGACCTGTCACTCGACTCTTTCAGCGTTGCACATTTAAACGTACGCGTAAACGATTTTGCGTTTGTGTGTACACGGAATGCAGGGATGAGGAATTTTCTGTGAGTTCGGTCCTCGCCTCCGACGTGATCCACGCCAACCGCAAGGACGTGCCCTCCATCTTCAGGGTGAGTCGTACAGCTACAGCTGAGCTCCTGCCACCACACGCCAATCGAGCTGCAGAAACCCCAGAATTCACAGCGACACCAACCGGCTTGATCTCAGGATCACAGCAAATGCATGGAACTCAACAGGTCCCACATTTCAGATTTTATTTGCAGGCGGTGTCACGGTGCAACAAAAAAAACTCTTGTCGCACGTTACTCTGCACGCACGCATCGCATGCATCGCACGCACCAATTACGCACACCAATTATACACACCAATCACACACACACCAATCGCATGCACTGCAGGTGACGGCGACGCAGCTGACGACACCCCGTACGAGGTTATCGACGCTGATCCTCGCGGACACCGAGACGGAGAAGGAGCGCTGGGTGGGCGTGCTGAGCGAGCTGCAGAGGCTGCTCAAGCGCAACAAGCTCAAGGACCGTGCCGTGTACCAGGCGCGCGAGGCCTTTGAGAGCGGCCTGCCCTACATCAAGACCACCCTGTCCGCCGCCGTCATCGGTGAGAGTGGGCATGGACACGGAGCTGGCCTCCACAATGGGAAGCTTGCGCTCGGCAAGCCGTTGGGAAGAGTTCATGCTCACCGCCGTGCGTTGCTTTGTCAATTGGCAGTTGTGCACGTGTCTGTGTGTGTGCAGATATTCAATTGGGTGTGTACGAATATGGTGGAGTGGTAGTGTAGTGGTTAGCATGCTGCGTCGTGAACCCGGCGACCCCCGTTTGATTCCCGCTCATGGGCCAACACCAGCGACGGTTATCTGAACCGGTCTTGGGCCTTCCCTAGGTGGACTCGTTCTCAAATGAGTATATGGTGTGTTGTGTAAACATCTGGGGAGATGAAGGTAGCCAGGCGTGGTACTGCCCACCCACCCACCCCATCGTGTGCCGTTCCAGCCTTCGTAGGTGCTCGCCGATTGCATTTGCCCCAACAATTAGCAAATATCGTGACTGGTCCTGAGCTTCCACAAGATCAATTCGGCCTTAAATGAGTACCTGGTGTAGTGTCCTAATGCAAGCACTGGGGAGACAAAGCGTGGCCTTTGTGAGATACTGGCCACATCACCACGCCCTCCAGTAGTATTCCTTGATACGTGCCCGCTAACAGCACTTGCCATGAGAGCCTGCATGGTGAAATACGGGATCCTTCTATTTGTGTGTGTGTGTGCGCGTGCAGACCACGATAGAATAGCACTTGGAGCGGAAGATGGGTTTTATGTGCTCGAAGTCACCAATGATGGTAAGTGTGCACAACCCTTGTGTATAATGCCTCATCAGAAAATACAATAAACACCTTGTAGCAGGAACACAATGCATCGCCATTCACTTCAGCAGTTCTGCACTGGTCACGAACGTGTGCACGGAAGCCTTTTGAGAGGCAGGTTCTATCAGGGCCTGCCCCTACCATTATTTTGTTCATTGCCCACAATCCACCATGATTATACATTTTGTAGCTATACATATAGCAGGCTATGATTTCGATATATTGACCTTCTTGGAATCCTGGACTAAATACGTACATTTCCACATCATCAAGCACTGTCGCATCTTGTTTACCACTTCACGAGTCACATCTGAATTTGTTCAATATACCATAAACGATCCTGGGTCACGGGTTATTGCAATCCCGTTTGTATTGTCTCGTTTTTTTCCCATCTAATTTTTTTAATCTTAAACGTAACACTGGCATGTCATTCACATACAGCTGACTTAAATTGTAAATTATTCTCACACGCATTATTCATCGATGTGAATCATTAGCGAGAGAAGCCATATTTTAATCATCCGATTCGTCCAATATCGGTTCGTTTCTCACCTGCCACTGGGTGGCGATCTCTAAACACAAAGGCGTACATGCGGCATGCGTCCACAGTGATCGTGCGCGTGGACGACTGCAAAAAGGTGACGCAGATCGAGCTGATCCCGGAGGCGCAGTTGGTGGCCGTGATCACCGGCCGCAACCGTCAGCTGCGCCTCTACGTGTGGAAGGCGCTCGAGGGCTTGGAGCATGAGCCCTACAAGGTGCCCGAGGCCAAGAACTGCCAGGCGATCGCGGCAGGGCGTCCCAGCGGGCTCGGCGCCGCCGGCTCGGCCCTCCTCTGCCTGGCCATGAAGCGCCAGCTGGTGTGCTACGAGCTGATGGGCGGTGCTGCGCGCACGCGCCACCGCCGGATTCGCGAGTACCAGCTGCCCAACGTGGCGCAGTGGCTCGCGGTGCTGTCGGAGGGCATCTGCGTGGGATACCAGTCCGGATTCGCCATCTACGCCACCGGGGTAACGGGCGCACACACGCCCTGCGGCGGTTTTACTGCTCCGTGGGTTTGGCCATGCTGACGTTAGTGATTATATCGCGTCCTTGATGATCAGTGCCATATAGTCTCCTAACTTTTGATCCGCAGAGTGCTGGTCGTCTGTAAAGCCATGGGAAATCAGCAGTGGCACTGTTGAAGATATATTTCTTCAAAAACAGCAAATTTGTTTACCGCTCGTCTTCGATGACAATTAGTTGAGAGTTTAGAGTGGTTCCGTGGCTCCAGAAAAGTTAGGAACCATTGGTATAGATAATAAGACACCTTAAAGTGATTTTTTGACATTGGGAATTATATAATAATGCTATATTGTGTTACTTATAAAATTATACACCAATGTATGTACGTATATTGAATATTCTGCTGGTTTCTTTTTCAAGTCTTAATCAGTTGCTGGGCACGCAATAATTCACCCACTCCATGACATTATGAATTGCGTCATGGTCCCGGGTCACAATTCCTTTCATGAAATGTATTCTCCTTTGTACCTGTGGTTCATGACAGAATCTATTATGACTAGAAAACGTCCATGAACGGAAAACACAATTTCATGCACATGTGAGCTTAGCAGTCATATTTAGCAAGTCAGAGAATTAATCCTTGCCTGTACGGTACTTTCAAATACCACTGCCGTTTCCAACAACCAACAGATGTGCGCTGCATTGTCCAGATTGTTTCCTGTATTTCTGACTTTGCCTCGTGCGTTGTGCCCATGTTGTATTGTTGCCGTGTCACTGGCGCAGGCCGGAGAGGAGGCGTCGGGCCACTGCCTGGTGCAGGCCGAGGACCCCTCGCTGAGCTTCCTGGCGGCGGGCGGTGGCGCTCCAGCAGACGCTCTGTGCTGCGTGGAGATCGTGGGCGGACCCGGCCCGGCACGCGAGTACCTGCTGTGCTTCTCCTGTGTGGGCATCTACGTGGACCGGCAGGGCCGCCGCTCGCGCCAGCAGGAGCTCATGTGGCCAGCACCTCCCACTGCGTGCTGTAAGTCGCCACGGTGGCTATGAGATGTTAACTACCTCACCCGGTATGCAAGAGGGCATGAGTTCGATCCCGACCCTGACCCCACCTGTATTATTATTTTTTCTCTCTGACTCCAATTTTTGCTGTAAGTCGCCACGGTGGCTATGAGATGTTAACTACCTCGCCCGGTATGCAGGAGGGCATGGGTTTTATCCCGACCCTGACCCCACCTGTATTATTATTTTTTCTCTCCGACTCCAATTTTTGCTGTAAGTCGCCACGGTGGCGAGTTGTTAACTCCCTCGCCCGGTATGCAGGAGGGCATGGGTTCGATCCCAACCCTGACCCCACCTGTGTTAATTTTTTTCCCTTCGGCTCCAATTTTTCCCTCCACATTCAGTAACATGCGTTGGGAGGATTTGGCTGCTATACATGTTTCCGCGTGATAAGCCGCCACTCCATTCAGAAAAAGAGCAGTATAGCTCTGTGGGCCTTACCTGATAAGGTAAAAAAATAGTTGAGTTAAACTATTAGCCCCATTGGCACCTGTATCGTTGCTGCGTAACTGCGTCGGTGTTGACTTTGTTTTGCCTCACGTCGCAGGTTACAACCCTCCGTACCTCTCGGTGTACAGTGAGAACACAGTCGACATCTTCAACATCATCACCATGGAGTGGATACAGACACTGCCGCTGAAAAAGGTGCCACTCGCTGTTTTACTATATTGCTAAATTAGCAAATCGCTGTCCCTCCTAGTTAATTGAAAAGTTAATTGACAGTCGTTATTTCATTATGATGACAACCTGACCTAATTTGCACAGGATCTTTTTACTTAATAATCTTGAACTATTAGTCAGCGTAAGATTTTTTTAACGGGTCATTTTAGCAATTGACACCACCGATCGGCTCTTTAGCATCGTCTACATGGATGACTGTGGAGCTTTCAGGCGTCCTCCGAGGTTTGTCGAAGCTTTTGTGTTGTGCCCGTCCTGTGAGGACTGACCCTCGACTTGTGCATCTCTCCTCCCTGTGGTGCAGATAAAGCCGCTGAACCCCCAGGGCACCCTGAACCTCCTCCCCTCCGAGCCCGTGCGTCTCATCTACTTCCAAAACAAGCAAGCAGGTAGGAGAAGGGGGGGTGCTCTTGCATAGACATCGCCGGAAACTTGGCACGGCTGCCACGTTTCCCATTGCGGCGCCCGTGTTGGCGTCGTCGCCCCGAGTAAGTCCGGCTTGACCGTTTAAGCGGCGACAGCGACGGGAGCGCGTACGCCGCACAACGGCGACGGGGAATGAGATGTGCGCGCGCGTGCGATGCGTGCCTCTACAGAGGGCGAGGACCTGCATGTGCCTGAGACGTCGGACAACAGCCGGAAGCAGCTGATCCGCATGCGCAGCCGGAGGCACTTCTCCTACCGTGTGCCGGACGACGAGAAGATCTCCTTGAGGTGCCCACCCTGCCACGTGTTTGCGCGTGTTTTTTTTCGATTCTCCAAACTTTATAGGTTTAGCACTTAACTCATTCTGTGATCCGATTCGTTTTGCAGTTTTTTGTGTCAATGGGCGCTTTGGTTTATTTCTCATGCCTTGTTAATACTTTTACAATATATTGTGGTGTGAAAATATTGGATCCAGTGTGGTCTCAATGTTAAGGGTACGTGAATTTAAAAGCGATTAATATTTGCGCTTGATTCAATATATTCATCATGAGCTTAAGACTCGATTTTAATTTAACGACTTTTACAGTCTGATTAACGTTTGCTGCGTTACACAAGCGGCAGAATGAATGGTGTGCCACGTGCATTACATGCCGATTGCTTTGGCACAGACTAGCCATGATTCCACTCGCGTGCTCGTTTGGAGAGTATTGCCCTAATAAGCAATTCGCTTACCACTTGCAAACTGGTTGAGACAGAACACCCTGTGTTGACCCGCATCATCCCCCCCCCCTCACTCGTGCTCTGCAGGGAGATGATTATACGGGACCCAGACCTGCGCTCCAAGCTCATCTCCGGTCCCACCAACTTCAACCACGTGGCGCACATGGGCCCCGGCGACGGCATGCAGATGCTCATGGACCTGCCCGTGGTGAGATTGCTGTGCCGCGTCGGTGGCGCCGCAACGCCGCCTGTCTCAAATCGTCGCTTCCAGACCTGCGGTGGCGCACTCCTTTCGTAGCACAGCGCTTCGGAGGCAGCGTTTGGGAGGGTTGTGTAGATTCTGTCGCGCAGCGACTCCCGGTCCCGCAGATTGTGGGGGAATTACAGCAGTTCGGTTCATCGCCCATCCTTGTGGATTTCGAGTGTTATTTAGCCCATATGCATGGTGGGTTTCCTCCTACGAGCAAAAGACTCTTTTAAGAAAAGGAAATTGGACAAGCATCGCGAAGTATGACTCCAATCTTTTAATAAATAATACGCATTTATCATTAATTTACCATCGGCTCTGTTAACTCAACTGGCTGAGCGAGTAAAGGGCTTTGCAGGGTCGGGGAGGACGGGGCGGTCGGTACGCTGAGGCGGTCTCGCCCCGCTCGCGCCGGCGCCACGGCCTGCCTCGTGCATCGACACTCATCCCGCTGCTGCTGCTGTCGCTGCTGTCGCTGCTGCTGCTGCTGCTGTCGCTGCTGCTGTCGCTGCTGCTGCTGCTGTCGTTGTCGTTGTTGCAGCGCTCGTCGACGATCCACGAGGAGCACCCGCAGGAGCGACCGCGCCCCGCCATCTCGGGCTCCTCCAGCATGGCAGCCATGCCGCGGCACTCGCACGCCGGCCTCTCCACCAGCCCCAGTGAGTGCTTGCCGTCCCACCACTCCTCCCGACTGAAACTCAACAATTTTTAATGAACCAGGTGCAATGCCCAATGAGCTATATAGTTCTTTTCAAGAAGTGACCTGGCCACATATGATAGCTCGGCAAAGTGGCTTATCGCTTGGAAGTTTATACCGGCCAAATACTCTTGAACGCACGTTTCTGAGTGTGGAGGGGAAAAAACGGAGGACCCGGACAAAATCCACATGACCACGGGGAGACAGACGCACAAACTTCAAATATACAGGCGTCAGGATTGGGATCGAACCCACATTCACCTGTATACCAGGCGAGGTAGTTAACATCTCGCCACCGTGACTAGAGGCCAGATCCTCGCACAGTCCGCACGTGTGAAGCACTGGCGCAGCAGAGTTTGACCCAAAAACCGGTGGATCCGATTGAGAAGCCGTCACGCGGTGGCGTGCCTCTAGACACGTGTGTTGGGTTCACGGTTCTGTTATTAATGCTGGCGTGGCCGAGTACCCAGCACTTGAGATCTGAGTTCAAATTGTGGGTTTCGGCCAAGAGAATGGTGTCTTTCTGGTGGTGTTGTTGTGTGTATGTACATATGGTTGTACGTGTGTGTGTTTTTTTTTAGTTTTATGTGGGCATGTGCGTGTACTCGTGTTTATGTGCGTCTCTAGTTGTGCGTACGTGAAGGATTGTCATTGCGTCTGTGCGTCGTTGCTCGTGGCTGCACTCGTGCTTCAGGCTCGCTTGCCCAGAACGGCAGCGCAGGGCGGAGGGAGGCGGGCGGCGCGACAGGCGGTGCCGGCCTGGGCAGTTCCGGTAGCGGGGGCTCCGGTAGCAAGAAGTGGCCCGTGGCGTCACCTTCGGACGGGTCCCTCTCGTCGGGCGGCCCCGACCAGCACAGCGAGGGCCACGGGCCCCGTGCCGACTCGGAGTTTGAGCGCGAGGTGAGACCCACTTCCCTCTCCCTGCCTCCCTCCCTCCCTCCATCCCTCCCATCCCCCACCTTTGCTTGTGCCCGCCGGCTGTGGTGTCTGCGCCATCTCCGCCGAGGCATTGGGACAAAACCGATTCTGCATTATTGATGGAGGCCGTTTTGTCCGGTCCGCTCGCCAACAACGAGTGGAAACTTAAGCTGCTGCTTGTTTTGCGAATGCAGCCAATTATCCCACCTATCCAGGAGCACGCCAGAAAAGGCAAACATGATGACGGTGTTGTCGGGTGCTCGTGTTGCGTGTTGTGGGATCATTTGCGTTTGGCTGGCACTCAACCGGCAATTTTCAGGTTATTGTGTGCGTGCACTAACGGTGGTGCATGTGTTCTGCCACGTGTCTGTGTGTTTTGTCTTCCTGCCGTCCGCCGCCCCCGCCCGTACGTTCCGTCGCTCCCACGCGGGACTCGCGCACTCGCTCGCCCTCTCCTGCCGGCGCCGCGAAGCAGGACTCGGACTCTCCACGCCACTCCACGGCCTCCAACAGCTCCAACCTCAGCAGCCCGCCTAGCCCGCTGTCTCCACCGCGCAACCAAGGTGGCGGCAGCAGCGGCGGCGCTGGTGGCGGCGGTTTGGGCGGCCACTCCCCGTGGGACCTTTGAGTCTGGGCACGCGCGACACCCAACGGCGGTGTTGGTGGTCGCATGCCCGCGCCATTCCTCCTCGATCGCCCCCGATGGTGACGACTGCAACGACGAGGACAAGATGGGGGGGGGGGTGTGCCCAAAACCGGTGCTGGGAGTGTTGGGGGGGGTGGGGGGGGGGTCTGCCCAGCCACGTTTGTCTTTTGCCTGAAGGGAGCCCCGCCAGGTGACCCCGCCCGTGCCCCACCCCGCCGCAGCCTGCGTGGGAGCGATGGAACGTCGTGTTCCTGTGGGGCCTCGGGGCTCCACGCGCCAGATGCCCCACACCGCTGCCTGTGAAGGGACCCCGGGCCCACCCACGCACGCACGCACTCACTCACACTCGTTTTCTATTCCTCTTTGTGTTGCTCCCCTCTCCCAACCCGGGGCTCCTGTGCCTGTCTACGGAGACAAGGGGAGGGGGCAGCTGGGAGTGTTAAAGAGAGTTTCGTTATAAATACCGATAATATAATAACTATAATTACAGTAATTACCGATTTAAAGAAAAAAAATTGAGAAACAAAAGAATTAACTTAAAATTGTCCTGAATTTTGTTCCACTTTCAGAACATGCAGAGTTGTTTTGTTTAACCCCGAGCCGTTGCTGCTACGTGCGGTCACCCGTCGTATTCAACGGTTCCAGGAGCCTCCAAGCAGATGGACGTAGGACGTCCCGTGCATCTCACGGCTGTCCCGTGTCCACGCTGCCTCCGTGATCCGACCACTAAGGCCACCGGCCACTGGCACTGCAGAACCTCTCCTGTGAGAGGCACCAGGGCGCTTGGCGAGCGGCGAAGCTCGGCGCTGTGCCACGCTCGTACCCCCCCCCCCCCCCCCCCGCGTCGTCCCTATTGGGAGCAGAGCGGGGGCCTTGTACCGTTTGGGTGGGTGGGGGTTTGTTAAACGTTTTTTCCTGCGACCAGCAATCGCTTTGTGGTGGCTGCCTCTGACGGCATATGCAGTCTCCCGGAGTCTTCTTCACAGCCCCCACTTTTTGCAGCGGGAGGCGCCGGGGACGAGGGTGGTGGGGTCAAAACCAGCAGCACCGTGGAACTAGGAAACACTACAGCGTTGCGTGTTCTTGTCGACCCAACGCACGGCAAACGCGTGTTGCGGTTGTTTATTTCTGTAAGATATTTCCGATCACAAACTTGCGTGTGTTCTTTTTTCACGTGGTTATTTTCGCTGGAACATGCAGGTGTTTGTTTGTTTTTCTTTCACGTTTTTAATATTTTGTTGTTGTCGTTGCCGAAGTGGTGCAGACACAGCGCGGGACCCGTTACCTCGTGGTGTTGGTGGGGTGCAGAGAGATTTTTTTCTTTTTTTTCCGACCGGGAACAGTGCGCTGTGCGCCAAGCATTGTGTGCGGGTTGGTTGCGAGGGTCTGTGCCGTGGAGCCAGCGCGCGCAGGGGGATTGTGGACCATGTCAAGGTTGCAAAAAGTGATTCCTAAGTTTGCCTGCTCGGCGTTCAGAGCACCCGTCTCTACTACTGTTTTTAGCCGTCGCCAGAACAGAAGCTGCTCCCAATGTTATTACCTATCGCCCGTTGTAGCGTTCGTTTTATTTCCCTCACTCTAGACAGTGACCAAGACATAGTCGAGCTTGCAAATGGGGGAGGGGGGGGTGCTGTGGTAGACGCCGATTGAAAAATGCTTTATTTTGAAATTGTGCAGTGTCGACGGGGGTGTGATGAGCGAGTTGGAAACATCAACCCTGAACTGTGCGCTCTCTCGAGTGTGAGAATATGTACTTGTGTGCGCGAGTGCGAGAGTGTGAATACTAGTGCGAGTGTGCGCGCGTGCGTGTGTGTAAGTGCATGTTTGTTCTTTGCCGTCGTTGGGAATAATTACGGCGGCCAATCAATCAAAAAATTAAGACAAAAATTGTCATCCAATGTGCTAGCTTCATCTGGTTTCTGGGGTCTCAGGTTATCTGCATACTGTAGATAGATTAGTTTTATTTTCTGGCTCGCCCAAGCAGTCCTTGTTTTGAGGGGGGGGGGGGGGGGGGTAATAACGTGTTACGCATGTGTTTCCAATATAATCTCTCATATCTGCAACTTCTGATTACTTTTTCGGTCCAAACGTGCACTGGCCCAGCTGTATAATCTTCACCACGCTCCCCGTGGGTGCGTCATAGCTCTCCGTGCCGCCCAAGTCGCTGTAAATGTTTAAATTGTTTTGGATGGTGTGCAGATGTGGGTGGCAGTGTTTGTGGGTGGTGGGCGGGGCACCCACGTGATGTGGGAGAAGGCCTCGCACGCTCATGATGCGCATTCGTCGTCATCGCAAATCCGCCGCACCACTGTCTTCGTCACGGGCCCCCATGTGGGACCTCGTCGCGTTGCCAAGCCGAGGCCAATTTCACGGTCGCCTCCATAGCCCGGAGCTATGGCATCCACGAGTCGGGCATCGGGCCACACGACAAAACAGCCCTGGGCGGACGTGACGTCCCATCGGAAGGAGCCACCCATGTGGCCCCGAAGGCCATCTGCTCACTCTCCACCGAGTAGTTCAATGCACTGCGTCTTTCATCGCAGATTGCTCCGTAAACTCGCTCGTTTGCTCCCTCCCTCCTCTTTGCCATAGAGGGCCTGGGCCCCACGAGGCCGCTGAGGTGCCCAGGTGCTCGCCAGTGAGGCCCCATCCCCTGGCTGCTGGGCCCAACACGGTTTTAGGGCGGGGGGATGGGGGGTTGCGTTACATCTTGGGTGGGGCGAGAGGGGTGGGCATGTGAAAGCGGCTGCCACGGGGACTCTGTGGGCAGTGATTTCAGTGCCAGTATTTGTTGCCTTTTGTAAGCGAATTAATTGACACAAAGTACACGCAACAGATGACGACACCGTGTTCCCCCATGGCTTGCTAGCTTTGTTATTTTGTTTTTGTTTTGCGTCTGTAAGAATGTTGTACAGTTTTGCATGATAACGTGGGTGTATTTTTTTTAACATCAAAGGCACGCGGCATAGAGAAGAGCGTTCGCTTGTATTAATGTTCGGAGAAAAAAAATCACACCTTGGTTTTTAAATGAAATTTGCTGTAAGAAATATAAACTTAAAATTGTGCTGGGGCTTTTTTTTCTTTATTTTGCACACGAATATTTATAGAGGGGTTAGTGCATCGACAGCAGCAGGTTAAGAACACTTCGTAATAATGTTTGACACAAACATGATATCTTATATTAACCAAACCTTAAAACATTGCAAAATAAACATAAAAATCGACGACCCGCGGTGTGTGTGGAGGTCGCTTGTTTGCAAGGCATTGTGAAGCGATGACTGCTTCGCATCTCGTGACCGGATCACACGGTGATGGCTTGGGGTCGAGTTCACCTGATAATTGGGTTCGCACGATGCCCAGGTAACTTTGTACATGTGTCACATGCTACTCACGTGTTGAAAAATGTGTTTTTTTTTACTTATCCAGGAGATCCACACTTTTTCATGAGGTTCCTGCATTGGTTTTTATTTTCACTTTTCATCCAATTAATGTTGAGTATTATACAAGTGGGAGGAAACCGGAGCACCCGGAGAAAAAACACGCGCAAAGGGGGGACGACACGCGCTCCCCGTACAGATAGGAACAGCTGGCGATTAGCCCACTTGCCGTACTGCCTTTTCGCCGCTAGTCGAGCGAGGTACGGTGGCTCCTTAACGCCCACGGGGAAGGGAGTTCCACAACAACAACTTGTGTGTCTGTGCGGTGATCCACCAACCATCGCTGCCCCCCACAGTGATGGGTAACAGGCCTCGTGCGGAGCCACCGCCTGCCTGTCTCCACGAAAATTGCGTGACACGACTGGTCTCTCCCGCAGGGGGGCGCTGTGCTACCAACATGGATGAAGTTGCCGGAAATTGGGTCCTTTTGAATTGAGGGTCTTTTTTGATCCAGGCGCGTAGCTCTGGAGTGTGCAGACGGTGCAACTCCGTACCACGGTCCTAAGTCCACGGGCCGGGGGAGTGGATAAATGAACAGGGGGCCTTCATTGAATACCTTGCACCAGGGTCCATGCCTCCAGCTCTGCGCCACTGCTCGTTCGCGACAAACAACTCGTCAGCAGATTGAACAGGAAACAGCAGCAGCAGCGTCGTCGTCGTCAGCGGCAACACTAGTTGCAGTAGCTCTTAACTCCCATCGCCAGCAGCAGAAGTTGCTTCAGTGATACAAGCAGCAGCTACTTCAATCAGCAGCAGCATGAACGTTTATCACCGGCAGCATCATCGGCGGCATCAGAAACCCCCTGCACTCCCATGGGCAGGCGCCCGTATCCACTGTGACGGCCCACGTCTGTACTCGAGTGATGTTATCTGACTTCAAGAGGATTCGGGCGCTCGGCGCTTCCATTGGACATGTTATGGACGCGACCTCTTCGTGCGGGGCCCTCCCACCCAACGCGGCCGCGCGGGTGGCACGTGACGAGTTGCGCTCCCGGCAGCGGCCGAGTTCTTTGCTCGTGCGCACGGCGAGAACGGCGAACCCGGCCACGCACCGGGTGGGTCTACGACGCCACACGCCACCCTCGTCTCGCTGGCGCAACACGCTGATGTTGGACAGGCGAAGCTTCTGGCCTGAAAGTAAACAAAAAAAACTAATCCGTAGTACGATGCGGGGTTTCGAGACCTCATTTTGTCCTGGTGACCACACGTGGTTGTCTGAGCTGCGAGCAGCAGGGCGCAGCACGGTGCCTGCATCCGTGCGTTACGTCTCTGCAAAAGAGCCCCTCCATTAATAATCATGAGCGGGTGACGTCACTCCACATGCCGCACCCCTCCCCAATAACCACGAGGGGGTGACGTCGCTCCGCATGCCGCACCCCTCCCCAATAACCATTAGCGGGTGACGTCACTCCACATGGGGCAACCCCCCTCATTAATAAGCATGAGCCGAACAATTTTTCTATTGAACGTTTCAGATTTACTGCAATATCCACCCGTCCTTGGACGGGCAAAGAAGCGAGTATAGTATAGTGTATCTTTCTTTCATTGGTAGCGCTTCTTGTAATGGTTTTCCTTCGGAAATTCCAGCCACTGCAATTTGGAAATGTGGAATTTCCACCACGGCGGTATTGGGAAGGGACATCTTTTTTTCACGGGATGTCGTTTTGTGTGTTTATCAGAAATGAATTAGCGGTCAATCGCAGCCCCTGTTCGATCCACTGCTGGACGAAGGACTTCCCACGCAGGTGTCGGTTTGACGGGGTGGTGTTTGGCCATACTTCACCACGCTGGTCACTGCAGGTTGCTAAAGAAGGATAGGTGGGGTTTACCTAGGCAGGCTCCAATTTTAGCTGCTGATCGTCAGCTGTGGTCGAATTCATAGCGCAGCGCCACCACTCCTTCAAGTAGACTCTGACCGGGATAGGCCTGGATTAGTTCGGCCAGTTGTCGACTATGGGCTCGTGTCTGGTGATGCTAATCAATTTATCTTCTTGGTTCTTTCGGTAAAGTCACGTAGAAGGGAAATAATAAAATAATAATAAAAATAAAACATAATAAAATAACAGGTCTGTCGGGAAGACAGCGTCAGACGCTGTCTTCCCTTCACCTGAGGACGACTGCTTGCGTTGTGGCCGAAACGTCGTGAGAATTATTTTCTGTTTTATTTTTATTATTTTATTATTTCCCTTCTACGTGACTTTACCGAAAGAACCAAGAAGATGAATCCCTGCAGTCACGAAAGCTTTAAATCGAAATCTAATCTATTTAATTAAGGAATCGACTTTTTTTTTTAAATTTAATTCTGGCCATGGAACGCAATGTGGGCCCCCCACTGTGTGCGGGATAGTCTCGTCTCGTTTTAATTCGCGTGCGGACTGTTGCCCTGAGGACGTTTGCCGTGGAGAGCGGCCGCCTCCCACACTCGCTGCATTCACGCGCCTCGTCTCTCGGGCTGCCACTATTAATGGCATTGCACCCTCGCCGCCTGCCGCGGCTGCTGCTGCTGCTGCTGCTCATGTCACAATTGCGGGAAATGTCGTCAGCGGCGATCTTCGTGGGCGAATTCAGTGGGGGTCTTTACCGTGCCCAACCACGCTTTGGTAAAAGCCCCCCCCCCCCCGCTTCCCCCTGCCGGCGTGATCGCGTGCCCCCCCCCCCACACCGAGCTGTGCGAGACGCACAATCGTCTTGGGGGCCGTCCATAAATGACGTCATACATGGGGGGGGGGAGAAATGTGACGTCACATCAAAATGCGCAACTTTAAATAAATATAGACAACACGTTCTACTTAACTAAATAGACTTTTTAATAAATGTTTTCTCCTACAACATCAGAGTGCAGCGCCACATTAAATACGCACTGCAATGACAATAGTTTAAAGCTCTTTGAAGCATGTTTTATATTGGGGGGGGGGGGGGGGGTGCAGAGCTTTGTGACGTCACATTTGAGGGGGGGGGGTCTGACTTTTTGTGACGCCGCGTGACGAGGGGGACGGCCCCTGTACGGCGGACCATTGGGAGCGGTGGCGCGGGGGTTGGCGCACTGCCCTCCGTACGGGTAGACCCGAGTTCGTATTCCCGACGTCGGCTCGACCCAACATCGGCGGCGAGTGATGTCCCATCCCGCTACTGAGCAGCTTGGTGAAGTATGGTCGGTCAGTTGCCATGTCCGACGGGGAGCAGTTGATGTTAAACTCCCTCGCCCTGGTATGCAGGAGGTCGTGGGTTCGATTCCGACCCAGATGCCTGTATAATTGGAGCTTGCATGCCTCTTTCCCCGTGGTCGCGTGGATTTTTCTCTGGGTTCCTCCGGCTCATCCCTCCACATTTAGAATCAACAAACACGCGTTCAGAGTATTTAGCTGCGATACATTTCCACGTGAAATGTATCGCCACTTCGTTGGGCTATCATTTGTGATCGGTCGCTTCTGAAAATGAGCTTATACAGCTCAGTCGGCCTTACCTGGTATTTTTAAAAAAAAGTTTTTTAAACATTCTTTTTACATTTTGTACTTTGCAAGCCTCTTGTCGTGGTCATTTTAAACCCGCTGCGCGCCGCCTGTGCCGAACGCTCGCACCTGACATTTGGGGGCTGACGTCCCCGCAAGTCGCCCCACTGCTCTCGCTGTTGAAGGGCGGAGGGGGAAACTGAAGGTGGGACGAGAGGCAGCGAGGGAGGTGCGGGCAGGGAGGCGGCGGCGTGGGGGCGGGCGTAGAGCAACGTGAAGATGAGCGTCTCACTCCAGCGTGAACCCTGAACAGTTATAGCCAGCCACGAGCAGGCGCCTGCTCGCTGAACCATAACTCTAATCAACTCGCTCACCAGCCACTAGCACTGTCACTGGACCCAAACTCTCACCAACTCGCTCACCAACCGTTAGCCTTGTCACTGGACCCTAACTCTTACCAACTCGCTCACCAGCCACTAGCCCTGTCACTGGACCCTAACTCTCACCAACTCGCTCACCACCCACTAGCACTGTCACTGGACCCTAACTCTTACCAACTCGCTCACCAGCCACTAGTTCTGTCACTGGACCCTAACTCTTACCAACTCGCTCACCAGCCACTAGTTCTGTCACTAGTCCTGTCACAGGACCCTAACTCTAACCAACCAGCCAATATCTTTTTGGTTCTTTCGGTAAAGTCACGTAGAAGGGAAATAATAAAATATTAAAAATAAAACATAATAAAATAATTCTCACGACGTTTCGGCCACAACGCAAGCAGCCGTCGTCAGGTGAAGAACAGGTCTGTCGGAAAGACAGCGTCTGAATGAACACCAAATATACGCTGCCAAGCTTGGTGGTGTTCATTCAGACGCTGTCTTTCTGACAGACCTGTTCTTCACCTGAGGACGGCTGCTTGCGTTGTGGCCGAAACGTCGTGAGAATTGTATTTTATTATGTTTTATTTTTATTATTTTATTATTTCCCTTCTACGTGACTTTACCGAAAGAACCAAGAAGATGAGCGGGAAATATGAAGCGCTTGATGGCTCGTGCTCCAAAAGCGTACCCAGTTTGTGCAGACTCGCGGGATTCTCTCTCCGTCGTAATTGCAACTCAACGTCAAGCCGAAATAATAAGGCGATCAGACACTTTGCAGTCTTGGGTCTTCCGAGTGCTGTCACCGTCACTGCCCAAAACTCCTGCGTGTTGGCACACGTGGCCACGCTGAAGTGACGGAGGGCCTCGACCGTGGCTCAATTTCAAATTAACTCCTGTGCGTGAACGGCTGTCGAAGTGGGTTTTTTTTCAGTACGTCGCAAAAAGCTTTCAGACCTCACCATT